CCGAATCAGCATGGTTTTATTAAAGGGAGATCCACCGTTTCCAATCTAGCGATTTTTACGGAGGACTGTCTGGAAAGCTTTTCGGCTGGGTTGCAAATTGATACGGTATACACGGATTTTTCAAAAGCGTTTGACAGAGTTTCTCATACAATTTTGCTGGACAAGCTAGCCTGTTTAGGGTTTCACTCTAAATTTCTATCTTGGATTAAATCATATTTAAGTGATAGGTACTGTTCGGTGGTACTTGACCACACGTCCTCCCGATCTTTTCATGCCAGTTCAGGTGTTCCCCAGGGAAGTATCCTTGGACCGTTGTTATTTATTATTTTTATAAATGATATTAGTTTATGCTTCCTACATGCAAAATTTCTCCTGTACGCGGATGACCTGAAGGTTTATTCTGTCGTAGCAAGAAGGGAGGATTCTTTCGCACTACAGTCCGATCTCGACAGGGTTCACGCCTGGTGCGTGAAGAATCGACTTTTTCTTAATATTGATAAATGTTCTCATTGCATTTTTTCCAGAAAGCTTGTTACTGTAAATACTACTTATTCTATTGCGGGTTCTCAACTGAAGACGGTGAACACGGTTAAAGATTTAGGAGTATTTTTTGACTCAAAACTCACGTTTGCAAGCCACATAAATTTTATAGTGGCAAATTCTTACTCTATGTTAGCATTCGTTCGTCGAAACAGCTCTGATTTCTTGGATCCGTATACGCATAAGAAATTGTTTATTGCCTTTGTTAGGTCCCGTTTAGAATATGCTGCCTTTATCTGGCGGCCTGCCCAGGTATCATATATAAATAGAATCGAGCGTATTCAAAAGATTTTTATTAAATTTGCACTGCGATCTTTAAATTTCACACAACCTTTGCCTTCTTATACCTCGCGATGTCTACTCTTAAGATTAGAATCACTTGACAATAGAAGAAAATATCTCTCTTGTTCCTTCATAATTAAAGTCATAACTGGAGATATGGACTGTCCTGATATTCTAAGTAGGATACCTCTCAATATCCCTACTAGGAACTTGCGTCACTTCGACATATTCTATTTGTATAGAGTTAAATCTAATTATGCCATAAATGCTCCTATCAGTCGAGCTCTTAGTGAGCTTAATCAAATCAATCGAGTTATTGATATTGACCTCTCACTTTCTGGAGGGATATTAAATAATATCCTCTTAAGCTACCTTAATAATAATTAGTAGTTAGATAGTTTCTTAGTAGTCAGTATGAAAATATGTATTCACTGATGATAAATAAATAAATAAATATTTAAATATTTAAATAAATAAATATTTATATTGGTAAATATTCAATTCAATTACGCGCATATTAAAATGAACGCGTTCGTACTGAAAAAGCATCCGTAAAGTGAATAATCAAGACAAAAACTAAAAAATTTAATTTGCATGTTGCCTGCAGTGGAATTCGAACTCGACCATCTCCGGATATCAACAACTTGTGGCAAGCATCTTTGCGCACTCAGCTACACCCAGCCATATAAATTTGCCTTCAAATGTTGAATATCCATCAACACCACAGCACGCGATTTGTACCCTGCAAAAAATGGGACTAATCCGGGATGACTCCGGGAGCAATCGCAAAGAAGCATGCGACTAATACCACTTTTGATCTCTTTATATGGAATGAACTGATCGCTTTTGTTCGGGATGGAACGATGAGCTGTATGAGCTTTACAACGATATGGACATAGTGCAGCGAATTAAAATACAGCGGCTCCGCTGGCTTGGTCATGTCGTTCGAATGGACACCGACGCTCCAGCTCTGAAAGTATTCAACTCGGAACCCGCTGGTGGTAGCAGAGGAAGAGGGAGACCCCCACTGCGATGGAAAGATCAGGTGGAGAAGGACTTGGCTTCACTTGGCGTTTCCAATTGGCGTCAGTTGGCACAGAGGAGAAACGATTGGCGTGCTTTGCTGAACTCGGCCAAAATCGCTTAGGCGGTTACAGCGCCAAAAAAGAAGAAGAAGAACAGTGTAGAAGTTACGTTTCAGATGCTTCACGAGTTGTAGGTTTTACAGGATTTGCAGGAAAAGCTGAAATACGGTAAGGTTTAGCTATTTGTACAATGATGTTGGGTATTTGTGTCCAAATGCGTGACCCGAGTTTAAAAACTTTAATATACAAGGGTAGCGAAAGAATTACACTTTAATTTAAATTAAAGATTTCAAATTTCCGAGCCCTAGTTAATTAATATATTATCCAGTTTCTTGGAAGCTTTGTTGGTTCTGCTAAAAAACACTGTGGATGACGTAGCCGGAGTTATATCCACAAGATATATTGCACATCGCCCCTACACTTTCCGAAAATTCTTTTGCCTATGTCCTCATTCTCCTGCATCAGCTCGAACAACCGCGCAAGTTGCCTTTCGTTGCTTACATTTTTTGATCTGTAATTCAGACACATA